GCCACAAGAGTTTCGGTTACGTCTTGTGACAGAATTGACGGAGTGGGAGCAATCTTTGCCGCCAGACAACAGCCCGACACGCGGCATGCGCGGCGACCTCTTGGAGGGCACGATCATTCAGACAGAATGGGGTGATGTGACCGAGTACATGATGCCGCCGTCTGGGGTCTTCAGCTTCCGGGCCCCGGATGACACGATCACTCAGCATACAGGCGAAAAGTATTACCACAGGTATGTGCCGCACCTGCAACAGTGTTGGTACTTCGTGGCCTGCAATCATTGCAGGAGATGTGTCGTGACCTTTGCTGACAAAGGCGGCTCCTGGCCTAAGGCATTGAGGGAGATTGGTTGGTCAGGCGCTAAGTGGTACAAAGCCTATTGCCCTAAATGTACGGGAAAGTAGGCCGAGAGGTTCGGAGCCTCGCTCTTGTCTCGGCCGAACTCCTTATTTTTAAAGATGAAACTAGGCCGAGGGGTTCAGAGCCTCGCTCTTTGCCTCGGCCGAAATCATCCTTCTTCTGGAAAGTAGGCCGACGAGAGATGGAATCGGAGCCCTGCTCCTTGTTTTGCGCCTAGTTTGGGCCAGAGTTCTCGAGAGTAGGCTGAGAGGTTCGGAGCCTCGCTCCTTGTCTCGGCCAAACTCCAAGCTAAGGACAAAAGTTGCGGCATGCAACAAGTGAGACTTGTTACCCTTTACTCCCAGCTGCAGTAAACATTATATTATTTTGCCTTCCAGAAGCGCATGCCGAAATCGTCCTTCTGATCTTCTGGAAAGTAGGCCGACGAGAGGATCGGAGCCTCGGTCCTCGTTTTTCGCTTGCTAGTTTGAGCCAGAAATCTCCAGAAGCGCATGCCGAAATCGTCCTTCTGATCTTCTGGAAAGTAGGCCGACGAGAGGATCGGAGCCTCGGTCCTCGTTTTTCGCTTGCTAGTTTGAGCCAGAAATCTCGAGAGTAGGCTGATATGATCGGCGGAGCTTCGCCTCACTCTGACTGTCTCGGCCGAAATCCAAGGACCAAAGTTGCGAAGTGTCGTGAAGCTTGTTACTCTTTGCTCCGAGCTGCAGTAGACAATTTAGTTTTGCATTCATCCGGAAGCGCTTGGCATGTCACTTGTGTTGGAAATCGGTAGCTTTGTGCGCTTACCTCCTGGCCTTGTTCAGGGACCCAGGCTGGCAGATAGACTGGGTCCAGGTTCCGCAGCCATGCGCGAGATTTACGACCGAAGTCCACAAACAACCCAGGCCAAAGCTCAAGGCAATTATAGCTTTAGACGACACGCACTCTGGCAGCCCGAATTCAACAAGCCAGCCATAAATCAGCAGTAAGTCCAGGCACTGATTGATTGCCGTTGAGGCGCGAGTTGAATTGATTTTTCGGTGCTTTCTTTTGGAGGGCTTGACATTGACCGACTCATCAGGCCATGGAACCCAGACGTGGTGGAGCCGTCGAGGCGGGTACTTCTGGGGTTCGGGGTCGGTTGACATTGATTGACTGCTCTGCCAGATTCTGACTGTCAGTCTGTGCTTGCAAGGGATTGCAGTACCAGCCGAGATTGCCGCAACCACTGCTGGCTAAAGTGGTGGGAGGTAACGGACCCACAGTGAAGATCTTGAGGCTACTAGCCCACTTTGAAGCTTTACCGAGAGGCGTTGTGTGAGGTAAGAGCCACAGTTGGAGCCAGGATGATTGACATTGAAGAAAGTTTGAATCTGAGATTCTGCCATTATTATTGTGAGATTCTATCAGTACTATATTAGGATAAAATTATTTAGTAAGACATTGAAGAAAGGTTTGAATCTGAGATTCTGCCATTATTATTGTGATTATTACCGTCACAGCATAACATAATAAGTTATGATCTTGGTCTGTGTTTCGAAATTCGTCAAATTGTCTTTTGAATCCCAAGCCCGTCATGCCGCCGGCTGATGATGAGAATGGCCGTGAAGTCGGGGCCGTCGGGGACCCTCTGACGGGTGGCGTGGTGGCACAGCCCAGCAAGGGGCAACCGTGTGCAGAGTGTGGAATCGTCAAGAAGAGGAAGCAGATGCTTGTGTCCGACTCGGACGAACATGGGGGCATGAAGATCTGCGTGGATTGCATGGCGGAGCTAAAGTTAAAAGCAGGGGAAGACGTTGACATGGACGAGCTGAAGAAGGAGGCGAGGTGGCAAGCCCAGTCCGCCAACGCCGGATTGCGCGTGGCAGCGTACCAGGAGGCCATCAAAGCGGTACAAAGGATGAATCTTCCGAGTACGCAAAGGAAGAGGCAAAAGGCGCTCGTGTTCGCAAGCAGGTTGGCCAAGGCCATCCAGGATGGCAAGCTTTGGGAGGCCTTCAGCCGGGCAAACCAGCGCATGAAAGCAGCGGTGGCAATTCATGAGAAGATCCAGGAGATGGAGAAGGCCCTCGAGAAGTTGCGCCCGGGCGATGCTCCATATGAAGAGGCTCTGAGTGCCTTGATGTTCTTCTGGTAGAATTTAAATTCAATAATTTTTTAATTTACTTGACTCTTAAAAGTTTCTAGAACTATAATAATAATGGAAGCTCAAAGTATAACTTTTAGGAGGGGTTCAGAAGTCAGCCAATTTGCCAAGGCACCCTGGAGAAGTTGATGGAGGAGGAAGAGCAGGCGTATGACTACCAAGTGTTCAAGGACCACCCTGAGCAGGACCGCATGGTCAAGGCAATGGACTATGACGACCGAATGGAAGTGAATGAAGATGGTGAATGGTCCATGGCGCTTTTCTACATGTGCCGTGCCAAGTGTGGCGACGGCAAGACATGCGGCCTCTACCGGGCAGGGAAGCTTTGGGACAAGCAAGGGTCCCGGTGGTATTGCCGGCAGCACAAACCCAACTGGGAAAAGTACTACCCGGACATCCCCTTCCCCGCTGAGTTGGGTTGTGGCGCACGGTTCGTCCCTTGGAAGAGGGGAGAATCTATGGTGCTGGAGTTCCCTGGGCCAGATAATTCAACACTGGCAATGATGGCCGACCTGATGCCGGAGATCCTCGACGACGAGGTCAAGAAGAACAAGACGGCGTGGTATGAGGGGCTCAACAACATGAGCCCGCAGCAACTTTACGACCTTGTGCCGGTCATTGTCCCGAAGGTCTACGCCATTGAAGGATGCCCGCAGATTGGGCGCTTCCCTGTTGACGAACATATCAACAAAAAAGAGCCGAAGCTCACTACTGCAGGCTGGTGGCGCCTCGCCCGCTACATCAGCGAGAAGGACGGCAACCTAAACACGATCCTGGATCTCTGCGACAAGCACGACCCCGGAGGCAAACGAAGCCAGGCATCGACCACGGGGTCCAGTGCCGCTAGCGGCAGTGAGCGAGACTCCTCGCCAAACTCCGGAAAGTAGGCTGAGGGGTTCAGAGCCTCGCTCTTTGCCTCAGCCGAAATCCAAGGAGAGTAAGCTGAGGGGTTCAGAGCCTCGCTCTTGTCTCAGCCGAAATCCAAGGACAGGAGTATTTCGGCGGAGTTGGCGTTTTTTGCAGGCTGTTTTAAAGCCAGAGTTCTGGAGAGTAGGCTGAGAGGATCGGAGCCTCGCTCTTGTCTCAGCCCAAATCCATGAACTCTACAAGTCACAGCCTGCCGCTTCGCTTGGCTGTCGAGGCTGCCCACTGTAAGAGCGAATCATAAAAGCCATCTCAGAGTCCTCCGTAGGATCAGAGCCTCGGCTGCCAACAGCGACTCACAGTAAGAGCAAGAGTTCTGGAGAGTAAGCTGAAAGGATCGGAGCATCCTTGGCGTTCTTCTGGTTGGCTCTTTAGACTTTAACTGACTTTTAAGGGTTTCTATATGAGCTATAATATATAAGGAGGCTAAAAGTTTAACTTTTAGGAGGGGTTCAGAAGTCCGCCAAGCCTCGCTCTTGTCTCGGCTTAAATCCATGTGCTTTCTGAGTTCTGGAGATTAGGCGGAGAGGTTCGGAGCCTCGCTCTTGTCTCGGCCGAAATCCATCCAACTCCCAATTAATCTAGCACAGACTCACCACAGATTCTGATTCGAGCAGTTTGAATGGTGCAAAACACGTGCCCTTGCCATTATTCTTGTGCTATTGCGCGTCTGCATGCCAAGTAGCTGTGAAGTTTGCAGCTGAAGTTCAAGTAAAACCGGACGTCGTTTGCTACGACCTGTCATGCTTGTCACATTGTATGCCCCGCACTTGGCCAGGATGCGCAGAGTCCGAGGCGGTCTTACAGGACCAGCAGAACCGGCATTCATTCGGGTTAGGTCCAGGGGATTATTTTAAGGTTGAGGCCGTAATGGTATTGGATTGGCAGGGGGTCTGTCTGACTGACTAGTAGTCTAGTAGTAGTAGTAGTAGTAGCAGTAGAGTAGTAGTAGAGCAGTAGTAGTAGTAGTAGTAGCAGTTACGGCTCCCAGGCACCCGGATAAAGCTTTGGCTGAAATCCAAGGATCCCCCGTGTCACAGCCTGTTGACTGCCTTGCTTGAGGAATCAGAAGCGAAGTCCAAGCGAACCAGTTCCAACTGTCCCATCCCTCGGCGAGCCGGGGCCTTGTGGCACAGTGTTGCCATGTAAGGCTGCTGTGTGTGGTTTTGGATTCAAATTTCCAGCTTGACTTCAGGACAGCACCCTTCCAGCAACTTCGTGTGTCATCCCTGAACGACAAGCCGGAGCCTTGTGGCACTGACTGTCTGACCGCCTTCTGCATTCCAGGGAGTCTTTGAGTATTCTCTGACTGCTTTGCTGCAGGAAGCCAGCCCCCGTCGCACGACTTCCCAGTGTGACAGCTCTCTCGGAGTCGGGGCCTCATTATAATGTAGCCTGCCATTTGCTGTCCATTAGTAGCGCTCCAACTTCAAGGTTGAAGCTTTTTAAATTTTGTCATAATACATTGTCGCGTGCTTTTGGCGGAGACAAGAGCGAGGCTCCGAACCTCTCCGCCTAAAAGGTTACGATTAGGGTTAAGTTAGGGTTTAGGCTTAATACCTACAACTGCCGGGTCTCCGGTGCTTATTAACCCTAAACCCAAAAACTGCCGGTACGGCGCCTAAACCCTAAAACTGCCGGCACGGCGCCTAAACCCCAAAACTGCCGGTACGGCGCCTAAACCCTAAAACTGCCGGTACGGCGCCTAAACCCTAAACTGCCGGTACGGCGCCTAAACCCTAAACTGCCGGTACGGCGCCGGTACGGCGCTTAAACCCTAAACTGCCGGTACGGCGCCTAAACCCTAACCCTAAACCCTAAAACTGCCGGGTCTCCGGTTAACCCTATAAACCTTAAACTAAACCCTACAACTGCCGGTACATCGCCTAATACTAACCCTAAACCCTAAACCCCAAAAGTGCCGGTACGGCGCCTAAACCCTAAAACTGCCGGTACGGCGCCTAAACCCTAAACTGCCGGTACGGCGCTTAAACCCTAAAGTGCCGGTACGGCGCCTAAACCCTAACCCTAAACCCTAAAACTGCCGAGTCTCCGGTGCATAATCAGCCTTTAACCCTAAACCTTAAACTAAACCCTACAACTGCCGGTACATCGCCTAATACTAAACCCTAAACCCTAAACCCCAAAAGTGCCGGTACGGCGCCTAAACCCTAAAACTGCCGGTACGGCGCCTAAACCCTAAACTGCCGGTACGGCGCTTAAACCCTAAACTGCCGGTACGGCGCCTAAACCCTAACCCTAAACCCTAAAACTGCCGGGTCTCCGGTGCATAATAATAATCAACCTTTAACCCTAAACCTGAAACTAAACCCTACAACTGCCGGTACATCGCCTAATACTAAATCTAAACCCTAAACCCCAAAAGTGCCGGTACGGCGCCTAAACCCTAAAACTGCCGGTACGGCGCCTAAACCCTAAACTGCCGGTACGGCGCCTAAACCCTAAACTGCCGGTACGGCGCCGGTACGGCGCTTAAACCCTAAACTGCCGGTACGGCGCCTAAACCCTAACCCTAAACCCTAAAACTGCCGGGTCTCCGGTTAACCCTATAAACCTTAAACTAAACCCTACAACTGCCGGTACATCGCCTAATACTAAACCCTAACCCTAAACCCCAAAAGTGCCGGTACGGCGCCTAAACCCTAAAACTGCCGGTACGGCGCCTAAACCCTAAACTGCCGGTACGGCGCTTAAACCCTAAAGTGCCGGTACGGCGCCTAAACCCTAACCCTAAACCCTAAAACTGCCGAGTCTCCGGTGCATAATCAGCCTTTAACCCTATAAATTTTTAAACCTTAAACTAAACCCTACAACTGCCGGTACATCGCCTAATACTAAACCCTAAACCCTAAACCCCAAAAGTGCCGGTACGGCGCCTAAACCCTAAAACTGCCGGTACGGCGCCTAAACCCTAAACTGCCGGTACGGCGCTTAAACCCTAAACTGCCGGTACGGCGCCTAAACCCTAACCCTAAACCCTAAAACTGCCGGGTCTCCGGTGCATAATAATAATCAACCTTTAACCCTAAACCTGAAACTAAACCCTACAACTGCCGGTACATCGCCTAATACTAAATCTAAACCCTAAACCCCAAAAGTGCCGGTACGGCGCCTAAACCCTAAAACTGCCGGTACGGCGCCTAAACCCTAAACTGCCGGTACGGCGCCTAAACCCTAAACTGCCGGTACGGCGCCGGTACGGCGCTTAAACCCTAAACTGCCGGTACGGCGCCTAAACCCTAACCCTAAACCCTAAAACTGCCGGGTCTCCGGTTAACCCTATAAACCTTAAACTAAACCCTACAACTGCCGGTACATCGCCTAATACTAAACCTTAACCCTAAACCCCAAAAGTGCCGGTACGGCGCCTAAACCCTAAAACTGCCGGTACGGCGCCTAAACCCTAAACTGCCGGTACGGCGCTTAAACCCTAAACTGCCGGTACGGCGCCTAAACCCTAACCCTAAACCCTAAAACTGCCGGGTCTCCGGTGCATAATAATAATCAACCTTTAACCCTAAACCTGAAACTAAACCCTACAACTGCCGGTACATCGCCTAATACTAAACCCTAAACGCCAAAAGTGCCGGTACGGCGCCTAAACCCTAAAACTGCCGGTACGGCGCCTAAACCCTAAACTGCCGGTACGGCGCTTAAACCCTAAACTGCCGGTACGGCGCTTCAACCCTAAACCCTAAAACTGCCGGGTGTCGGTGCTTAAACCTTAATACCATAACTCATAAACCTTACAACTACCGTTACATGGCCTAATACTAATCTTAAACCCTAACCCTTTTAAACCTTAAAACTGCCGGTACGGCGCCTAAACCCTAAAACTGCCGGCACGGCGCCTAAACCCTAAACTGCCGGTACGGCGCCTAAACCCTAAAACTGCCGGTACGGCGCTTAAACCCTAAACTGCCGGTACGGCGCCTAAACCCTAACCCTAAACCCTAAAACTGCCGGGTTTCCGGTGCAAGGACCTTTAACCTTAAACCTTAAATAAAACCCTACAGCTGCCGGTACATCGCCTAATACTAAACCCTAACCCTAAACCCTAAAAGTGCCGGTACGGCGCCTAAACCCTAAAACTGCCGGTACGGCGCCTAAACCCTAAACTGCCGGTACGGCGCCTAAACCCTAAAACTGCCGGTACGGCGCTTAAACCCTAAACTGCCGGTACGGCGCCTAAACCCTAAAACTGCCGGTACGGCGCCTAAACCCTAAGCCTAAACCCTAAAACTGCCGGGTTTATGGCGCCTAAACCTTAAACTAAACCCCTAAAACTGTCGGTTGTCCCTCTGCAGCTGTCGAGCTTCTCATGCTACAAACTGGCCTTCCCTACAATAGCTTTGTCATGGTCAAGTGTGAGCAAGCATTCATCAAGAAGGAGCTGCAGATGGTTTCGACGATCAAGCAGAGGCCGCGGCGTCAGCAACAGATCATAAAGAAGGAGATCATTGAGTCGGAGCCTGAGGAGGACTCTGATGCCGACTCCAAAGTCATGTCAAAGATCAAGCGCAAGGAAAAGCAACGGGACTACGAGAAGAACAGACAAAGTCGCATAAAGCCCCTAGGAAGGAATTTCATAATAATAAGCCACTTAGGAGAGACTAAGAGTTTTCAATGAATTTTATCAGACACCATGCAACTCAGGACGGCAACCATCAGGTGCTTAGAGCTCGACAGCCAGCTGAAGGAGATGACTTTGGACAGGGACTTCGCTCTCCATCAAATCAACATCCTTCGCCAAAACCTGAAAGCCGCTGAGTCTAAAATAACGGCCTTGCAGCTGATGCTGCCTCTGGTGGAGTTCGAAGGTGAGCTGCGGGAGTGAGGCTTTCAATCACTGTACAGAAGGACCAGTCACTGTTGGTGAGTGCTAGGGGTTACCAGACCGTTCCTGTTTTTTGTCATGCCTTGTAAGGGGACGAGGTGTGCAATAACTTGTAAAGGATGTGAGACTTTCATCTCGGCCGAAATCCATGGATTCTTTCAGAGTTCTGGAGAGTAAGCTGAGAGGATCGGAGCCTCGCTCTTGTCTCGGCCGAAATCCATGGATTCTTTAAGAGTTCTGAGAGTAGACTGAGAGGATCGGAGCCTCGCTCTTGTCTCGGCCGAAATCCACGGATTCTGTGCGAAAGTAGGCCCAGAGGTTCAGAGCCTCGCTCTTGTCTCGGCCGAAAGCCCAGGTGTTTGAGCCAGAGTTCTGGGGAGTAGGCGGAGAGGATCGGAGCCTCGCTCTTGTCTCGCCAGAGATCTCGGCCCAAACTTCGTAGGTCAAAACATGGAGCGCACGCCGCTACCAAAGAAAAGACGTTTGGATGCCCCAAATCCAGCAGAACCTGTGGCGAAACGACGTAAAGGAGATCCACCTGAAACCCGGGATGTGATGGAGGACTTGCCGGGTGTCTTTCTCCGAGTCCTGACCCTGGCAGATGATGTGGCGAGGCGTATTTTTGGATCGCATGAACTTTCAGCCTGCGCTCCATGACCACCCTATGGACGATGCAGAGACAGTCGCCCCTGAACCTGGCGAGGAAATCAACGACCCTGTAGACGAGAACCTTTATGCCACATAGTAACATTGAAGTCCGGATAGTAGGCCGAGAGGTTCGGAGCCTCGCTCTTAGTCTCGGCCTCAATCCTGTCAGACTCAGTACTGATCGGGATCTGTGATAGCTTTGATCGTGGCTTGCGAAAAAAGTGAGGATGAGTTGAGTGAGATTCAGATAATAATTTAATGCGTCTTACTTTGATTTGGCAGACAAAGCGCTTTAAGTCACATGCAATCACTTGCCAATTTCAATGCCCGTTGCAGTCTGTCAGTGACGTCACTTCCTCTATAGCTAACACTGTAGTGAGGTCAGTTCGTTTCTTTCGTATTTGTAATGAAAGTTGATCCATGGCGGACCTGGTTGGCCATGCAGCCATTGCTGCATCCGGAGCACGAGGAGACGACGAGTAAGAACTGTGACAAGAAGAAGCACGGTGGCACGAAGAAGAAAGACAACCAGAAGAAGGCCGTCATGAAGAAGGACACTCCCTCAGCGGCGGACATTGCAGCGGCAGAGAAGGCTGCAGCGGCTTGGTTGGCTCGGCGGTCGGCGAAGTCGGTGTCAAAGAAGGCTGCAGCTGCATGGTTGGCTCAGCGAAAGGCAAAGTCCGAGTAGATCGTAGATCAGATCCGTAGCATCAGACTCAGATTCATGGTTACCATGGTCCAGAAAAATTTGGTGTGCCCCATTGCTGCATGCGTTTCGTCTGACTGTCACGGTTATTATCCTGATGCCGCCCAGTTCCCCTGCAGCAGCGTCGCAGTCACTGGATCTGAAGAGGCTGGCTGGCGCTTGTCTTCCGCCCGTATCTAAGAACAAGACATTGCGTCCTCCAGGCATGACGAAAAAAAGAACAAGCCGGCTGTCGTCCCTGAGGCTGGAAAGTAGGTGCATGACGCAGGATTTGATTATTATTCATTGATCATTGTCATGTTTGATTTGTTTCATGCTGAACGGCCCGTCAGGCTCCGGGCCAGGATGGTCCCGGAGATGTTAGTTTTTATCATCTTCATTACGAGCCTCAACAACCCTTGCCGAAGTTTGGCGAGCTGGTTTATAGGGTGAGTGCCTCGGGGGGCATTCATAAAAGCGTGGCCGTGGGTTCTTGGACTCCCTACTTTGGCCCCGCTCCACGGCCAATGCCGCTGAACCTGAAGATGGTGTCTGTGGCGGCAACAATGATGGATTATTGATTGTATCATTCCATAATTCATGCAAAGTATGTTGAGGACACAGTTTTTAAACCTTCCCAGGTGCCGCCGAAGCATCAGCCCAGATCGTGCAAGACCAAAGTGGCCTTGCTAAAGCGGCCCCACATATTCCAGACATGGGGTACTATACGTTGCGGCCCCGGGTAGTAAAGTCTTGTCATTGTCACGTCATTTGGTCTTGATGCTCAGAGCACTGATTATAAAGTTTCAATCTGACCGCCGACTGTCCTCAGGATGCTTTGGTGCCACAATCCGAGCAAACCCGAAGTATCTGAGTGTCAGAGCCAAACAGGACGACGAGTGCCCGTAAAGTTTCTTTGCTGCATTTAATTTTTAAGATCGCATCAAATTTAATTACGTCACAGCACCAGCAGGACTTTGCGACGCAAATTTACTACTCGGAGTCTTTCCAGAAGGCACGCAAGCTCCGAAAAGTAGTTGATCCTGGCAAGTATGTCAACCCGCACGTCGCGGAGTACATCTGTGGCACCTTGGTTGCAGACTGACTGTTGAGGGAATGGACGTTGAAGTCTCATTGTATTCTCCTGCCTCTTCGGGGGGCCTTCAGTTCGCAGTCTGTGTCCAGGCTTGCCGCTCGGGTGGACCAAGCCCGTTGCGGGCTGTGCACGATCGGTCGCCTTCGACACCTTGTTTGCGAGGCCTTGCGAAACAGACAAGAAGGCCAGATCTAATTTGGTCTTCGTGCACTACTAAACTCAGACTAGACTCAGACTCTGTTTCATTGCTCACGACATGCATTGTTTCAGACGCTATGGCCGGTCATCAGCTTGTTTTCGGGCGTGCTCGGTTTGGACCTGGCGCTCTCCGGACTGTGCCGCTCGATCGCGTACGCTGGAAGCTGAGATTCAAGCTGCAGTTACTGTTAAGTGTGCAATGTGACAGCCGTTTGATTGCTGTCGCGCGATGAGACCGCCGTCTGAGGTGGAATCCAACTCGTATTGCCAGGATGTGATTCGGGCAAGAATTGCGGATGGCATGGCCTGGGACGGCCCAGTTTACTCCGATGTCAGATTGTTTCATGCAACGGACATGAGCGGCGCTTCTGGTCTGATCGGGGGCTTCCCGTGCCAGGTTGGCATTGGGGCGTGTCGTGCAGTCATGCGTGCATGAGACATTCATTGGCTTAGGGCAAGGGACCCGTTGCTCAGGGGGTGAGCCGGGCCGGCTCCAGAACTGGGCTCAGCCACAAGGAGACCTGTCTGTTGGCGGAGATATGGAGAATATTCGACAGCAGTCCTTCGCTCCTCTGCTGAATTGACAAGTCTAAGTCTAAGTTCTTTTCATTTAATTTCCAAGCTCCGGCACCCGAAGCTCCATGCGCCGCTGCAGCCAGTAATAAGTGACCTTAAACATGACGTTTGAGTTGTTGTGCTGCTTTCAAATTTCCTGTGACTGCCTTGCAGCGTTGTTTTGCCGAGAATAATTCCACGTGATGTTTGTTCACTCCGAGAACTGTTGGCATTGTTGTTGCGGAACCCTGATAATCAATGCAAATCCAATGATGATGAGGACAGTCTCAGTGACAAGAATGTTGAGCATTGCAGGCCTAGCCTAGTAATACTGGCCTGGGGCGTGTCCATGTTTCCAGCAAGTGCTGCTCAGCACGCTGTGAATTTGCCGGCACAGCGGGTGGAAATGGCACTGGAGGACCTGCTGATGGCCTAATCTGTGTGGATGGCTGTACTTTTCAGGTCGGCAACCCTGAGTATGTGGCTGCCATTGATAGACGGCTGCAAATGACAAGCTCGGCGCTGGCAGCAGTGGTGGAGTTGTCTGATGACGATATTGCAGGACCCACTTCAAGAGATAGGGCTGTCCATTCAGAAGGCAGGAGGCATGATGCTTCATGTGTTTCGTTGGCAGCAGTGGCGGAATTGTCTGGTGCTGATGTTGATGACACTGGGCCCAGTTCACGAGACAAGCCAATGCTGCCGGTGGCTGAAGGCACATCATCCGGCAAACGGAAGCGTCCAGCGGCGAATTATCACGCCGTTCGCAGGCAGGTGCTTTCTCTGATGAACAAGAGATGCTACTGCTCAAGGAAAAACAAGACTCGGTCTTCCTGCTTGGAGCAGTTCCGGGGGCAAGCGGACGCATTGGTTGAGTTGCAGCTGCGCTTACGTGCTCTCGGCAAGCACGACATGGACAAGGAGGCCATTCAAATTTAATTTCATATTCATTCCCCAGCTAGCAGGACCGTGACTCTGACTCCGCGTGTCTTGCTGCAAGCTTTTTAATTGCAACAGGGTTGATTTGGAATGTGCTGCTGCACGGCATTCGACGTTATTATTGTGCCTTGTCCCTGTCCTGTGAATAGTAACAGTGCAGTTGCTGAATAGGCTTTTTTCCTTCCTGAACGGGTCCGACCGAGTCCGTGATAATGCTCGTTGTGCAGGTCGTGAATATGATCACTTCCTGCCGCAAGAGAAACACCACGGAGGACCGCACCACATTCAGCCAGTCCATCCTGGACACTCCTGTATGCCAGGATGCTTTCGGGCGACTGCTGTTTATCGGAAAGGAACGAATGCAGAAACTTTGGAAAGCTGTGAGATCGGGCGTCCCTCCACCCAGGGATGGACGCTTCTTGAAGCAAACTCGTCAGTACCGGAAGATGCAAGGATCCACGGAGAAACAGCAGGCGGTGGTCGAGTTCTTGACGGAAATGCATGCCACTGTGGCTGAGTACATGCCCGAGGCAAACCGTGCCCGGGACACCGCCAGCCCGGTTCCCAAGACGACTGAGTCTCAGAATGGCAATGACACTGTGCCAATTGGTCTGCGTTTTCGAAAAAGGACAGGCAAGCGTCCTCGGAAATCCGTGTCTATGAATTTTGGCAAGGACACGACAGCATTGAAAATGCTGCCACCTGGCACATTCACAGGATACTTGGCTCTGCTCAACGCCCGCAGAGAAGGCAAAGACAAGATCAGCCTGAAGATGTTCAACGAAGCAGCTTGGCAGTGGACTGACAGGCAATCCGCTTTAAATCACTACTATGCATTAGTTACGTCATCCTGAATCATAGTCTAACTTAGCCTTATGA